ACTTGTGTTTGGTTGCATTTAAGGGGTTATTATGAGAGAACCTCAGTATCTCACTGTGAATGTCTCTCATAAATAATACCATTGATGCTGACAACCATAAATAAAATTCAAAGCAATAAAATAGAAATGTTTAATGAATGACTGCTCGGAGCATTGTGAGTATGTGGACAGAAAGAAACACCTCATATATAAAGATGTCTGAACTCCCTCTCTGTATTTAACACTGAATAGATGTGTGTTTTGCAGGGTACTTGCTGTAGTTTTCAAAACATGACACTGGTCCTCATTTGTACTCGTTGGATGTTGGCTTTTATTTCGGACTTTTGTGCAAATGGTTATGGGCCCTGCAGGACTGGGAAGCATTATGCTTTACTGCCTTGTTCACTCTTGTCTGAAATTGTGATGCTATCTTTAAGTAAATCTAATTAAAAATAATGGATCCAGAGAGTGAAAGAGATTTAATTTAAGATACATAGTGTGAGTTAAGTCTGAGCAGGAGCCAATTTAAAGGTTGTACAGGTGTTGGACTTATTTTGCCTGATCAGACTTTTCTCATGCTACATGGGGCCTGTGAAGAATGTGCTTGATTGACATCGCTGAGCTCATGTAATTCCAGCATAGCTCCAAAGATAGAATAAGCAAAATCCAACGGGGGTGTAAAGATATACTTGGATTTTTTACTCAGCACAGCCCTTAAATAAGTTTTTTTCATCAAGATCCATTAATCATTCTCTGGGAAATCAATGAAGGAGTCAAAAAACACTCTGTTTCGCAAATGTTAAATGAAGTAATGAAAAAGTCCAAGTGATCCCAAAATGTAAGAGGCTCTTTCTTGACTCATGTTCTCGTCTTACAATGAGTTTCGTAGAAATTCATTCAGTATTTTTTTTTTTTATTATGCTGGAAAAAACCAACCAACAAACAAACAAAGATCAGGTAATGAGGTGTACGAGAAACTCAGCTGATAAAAATCCCATAAAAGACACATGAGCTAAAATAAAACAGAATCATAAGACAAACTGAGGCTGAATCCATAGCAAGATTTTCAAAAAGGTAGGACTTTAAATTACAGTTTAAATTATTGAAAATGCAACAGCTGATGTGGAGGCTGCAACAGAGAAAACTCATGTTAGTGCTAATATGAGATTTGGGGACTGAAAAAAGAAATGTGAGGACGACCTGAGTGACCCAGGGGCAGAATATGGAACCAGGAGATAGATATAAGACAACAGAACTATCAACCATCATCGCACTGACTCACAAACCTTGACTTTTTTTAGAAAGTATCACCACGGTAGAGAGAAGTTAGATGTCACATCTCAAAGTCAGGGTGCAGCACCAGAAGTAAGCCTGCCTGACTGCAGTTGCTGGAGGTGGGGGTAGTGTGGGGGGGGGGGGGGGGGGGGGGGTGCATCCGTCAGCACTAACGGGAAGTGACAGTGTGCAGAGAGGTCCTAATTACTGTCTCACTTGACTAATTGTCATCTCTGAAGAATGCAGTCCCACTTAGATCTGAGGGATTTCATTGACAGCACCGCTCAAGTCATATAGGCCAGTGCTGACTTCAGCATGCTTCTGTTTAAAGGCGCCGCTGAGGCACGACCACGAGTGAGGAATGTAAATACGCAAAACTGCAACCATCGCAGGCTGGAGTGAGGCGAGCACTTGGCTGAGTGTGTGTGTGTGTGCGCGCTTGCGTGTGTGCACGTGTGATTTTGTAGAGGCCCTTCTTCTTCTTGCCAACGTGTTAAGACATCCTCAGCTACAGTCATCCTCACATAATAGGCAGATGAAGTGAGACCTTTGTGGGCTTTCCGGACCCGACCATGTTAGAATAAACTTGAGTTGTTGGGAATAATGCGGTGGAGATGAGCCTTTAGTACAGGGCAACTGAAGTGAATGAATGTCTTCTTTTTCAGGGTCTTACCATTCAAAGTGCATCAGCTTCTCGTTTCCATGGTTTCCTTCCCTGTGCCAATGCTATCTTTCCACCAGTCTGTCAGTGCAAGAGAGCGAAGGAGGGAGGGAGCAGAGAGAGAAAGTGAGGGAGAGAGAGGATGACAGAAGGCTTTTAGTGGTGGTTATCTCTCCTTTGCATAAAGTCCCCTTTGCATTACCCAGTGCATGAATGGCATCTGAATAAACACAGCAGCCAGCTCGTATTGAAGCCTCCCCGGGTTACAAGTGAGTGGGTGTGTATGAACTCATCTAATTCTGGGTCTCCTTCAAAAAAAAACAAAAACAAAACATGGTTTGATCATGGATGAAAAAAAAGAGTACATCTTCCAAATGACACAGGGGCGTCGTGCCATTAGTCACAACAAGCCAATGGAGCAGGAGTCATCATCCGTTCTTTTCTAACTGGTTCACACACACACACACACTTTTCTCATCTGAGTGAGTTACATGAAAGTGAAAAGTTTGTTATTCCAAGACTTCTGAATGGTGAAGTTATCCATCTGTTATCTACTCTGCTTATGCTGCTTAGGATGTATTTGCTCCAACATGTTGCAGCTGAATACCCCTCACCTCACCCCCCCTCCCCCTTCCAAACATGAGAACCTGCGGTAGCTTTCAAATGTCATAAAAACTCAAACTGTAAAAAACATGGCGGCCTCCGTAGAGAGGACCTGCTTAAATATAAAGTATTTAAATGGTAATGAAAACCACAATTTGTACAATTTAGATGAAACACACTAGGAATATTTAATATTCAATTTCTGGCAATAAACCCCTTACCTAAATCTTACGCACTGCACCTTTAATTCTAAACTACATTTTTGAGTTTATACAACCTGATGGCTTTACTCTAAGTGCAATGCCATAGTGTGGGGCCAGAGGGCGCTGTGACTTCAAGAGGGGGAGCGAGTGTGTTGATGTGTCCTCTCCCTGAGCTCAATAAGCATTCCTTTCATGCTGCGTGAGGCTCTGCTGACTTATACGGAAACCCTGGATTCCTCCAACATTATGCTAATGGTCCAGATGGTCGCATGACGAGTGTCGTTCCTCTTGGTTTTCTCACACGCTTGCACAGTGCTGGTGTGCAGACCCACGCAAACTGACACACGGTTCAAAGTCAACGTTCACACCACCCTGACTGATCCCGTGTAATCGCACGTCACATACAAACGCCCCCTTCACGATATTAAATGTGTTGCCTCTTTATTCATGGAGGGCATCGGACATATCCGGTGACGTATGACGGAGTAGCACTCTAACAAAATATATGTAGGGGTGAGTACTAGTGTAATTTGCTTATCCCCACATTCACGTATGTATAATTTAATCAGTATATAAAAACATTACACAGGCAATAATGTATTGAGTTTATATGACAAGGTGATACGATAGAAATTTAAATACCCTACACTTACTATTGCAGTACTTTTACACCTCACACACACTCACACATACACAGGCCATCCATTCACACTTGAGTCACACAGTGATGGTGTTCATCCAAGCCTTTTAGACGCCGGTGGTGCCGATCAAAGGGCCCTTTCACATCCCCATTGGGATTAAATAGCCCAGCACCTATAGCTCCAGCTGACGCACGGGCCCATGAAGAGCTCCTCACTGGCGGCGGACTCTGATAAGGCGCATGTAGTGTTAAATCAATAGCACGTGGGCCCACACAAGAGCAGCAGATATCCATCTCCTCGGTGCCACGCACCTTATATAGGATATACCCTCGTTTGAACCGGCTAATCAGATATGAACATGACAATCTGGAGTGATAGGCTGTGGCGCGTCTTCCCCTGTGAAATGTAACCAGCGGTGGAGCCTTTGTGTGTATATGTAACACCCACACACACACACCTTCACATCATCGGGGGATGGCTCTCACTCGAGAATAGTCTGTTGCTGGAAGGCTTTCAAGTCTAAAGTGGAGTTATTTGCATAGGTTAAATATTCTTGCCTTTGAGCAGCTTCGTGTCGATATAGCCTAACGGATTTGCTGTTCTGCCAATTTTAATTCCTTTCATCCCAGTCCTCCCACTTTTCTGGAATGATGGTGTAAATTGTTGGAAGGTTGTGGCTTGAAATCTCATAAAAGAGGTTCAGGAAGGGAAATTATCAATGGCAACAAAACAGAAAGCAGACCTTCATCTGCTACTTGGGTGTACGGGAGAACAATGATTGCAATGATATCCTGCAGGCGGGAGATTACATCGCTTGTGTGTTTGCCAAATGTGCAGTGGGTACAGAGTTGTGTTCCTCTGTATACTGCCTGTATAAACGGCCAATAAGCAGAAACCTCTGATTGGTTATATATTATATATTTAAAGAAATTAAGAACGTTTATTGTCAAAGCTTTTTTGAAGTACACAATGTAATTAAACTGGGAAGAATTTTCCGAATACATTTAATCATATGTGGCTTTGCTTAAAGTTATAGAGCTAATAGTAAACAAGGACTTAAATGTGCACCTTACAGAATAATGTGTTATTGTGCGTGGATGTTGATTATGGACCCCTCTGTGCACATTGGTGCCCTTAGTTGCCCCTGATTTAGAAAAACCCTAGATCCGCCACTGGTCCACTCTGTCCATGGTCCTGAAAAGAGAATTTTAAAAAGAAGTTTGAAGTTTCTCTTCATCAGATCAGATGATCACATTTCATGAGATGTTCATCATCGATCAATGAACAAATCACTTTACATCCATGACAGCAGGTCGCTTTGGTTTGGTGAATGGTGCTAACATGTGTGAGCTTGGTGGCAGAAACTGGAAATAATAACGAAGCTTAAAAATATGATATGAAATAAAGTTTTTGCTCCGCCTTCCACCCCATCTCTCCCTCTCCGGTGCGCGTTCACAACACTAACCTTGGCTCGACGTCAGAGCCTGTGCAGCAGTGCAGTATAATGGGAGCGCAAGCAACCCAGAGCGCCTCATAGGGGGCTGCATATCGCTGCTGTATCCTCTGCTCGGCGCTCTCCGGCTCCTCACCAACCCTCTCCAGCTCCTCACCCACAGCCCATGCTTTGGAGCTCTCTCTCAGCCCCCTCCCCACTGGATCCGTACCCTTCGACATGGATGTCCCGCCGTCCCTCGACCCGGAGGATTGTTGTTTCTTGGCGCAGTGAAGGAGGAGAAGGAGACGGTGGAAGGAATCATGCCGGGACTGCTAATGGATTTAGGGAGAGCGCAAGTGACCATGCCGTGATCTTGCGCATCCAGGGCCGCCGTCACCCTGCCTTGCCCAGCGACCGGAGAAGAATTACGGGGGAATCGAACCCGCGCACCGGGGGGGTTTAAACCACTGTGCATTCTTTTTTTTTTCCAAAACAACATGAAGATTACCTCCCATCATCTGATGATAACCAGTCTCGTTTTCAGGTCCAACCTCAGGCTGATCCCGCTTCTGCTGCTGCTGCTTCTTGGATACACTCGCGGGATGCCACACGTTTTGAGATTCGGTAAGATTTTGGTTTATGACACGATATCAGCTGTAAGGATGTGTGATCACGCGATGCATGTATGGAAATCCAGAGTGTAACGACATCGACGGTCTGTGCTCGTCCCACTCTTCCCTCGTCTAGAAATTGACAGTAGAGTTTGCAAAACCTGCACGATAACAAATCATATTTCTGGATCTTTACAATCTCAGAATGTCTCGTGGCACTGCTCGTGTGCCTTCCTGCAACATGCATGACACAGTGAAGGTGAAATGGTGTTTTCCACAAACCTTTGCACCAGTGTTACAGTAACTTTGGAAAGAAAATCAACTGTGGCTAACCAGAAGGTGCCTCTCTAAACGCAACAGCTCACGGATACGCAGCGGATGAAACTCGACACAAACATCCAGGATCCTCACGGACTCTTGTATCTCCCTCGGCCTTTTAAACTGCTGACACCCCAACACGTCCCCTGCAGTACATGTGTACATGCAAACATTACGGGTCGATAACTCTGATCTGTCACATGGGCCAATCAATAAACCAGACAACCCCACTTTTTTCATCCTTTATCCCAAATGAACCTCTATAAGTGGTTTATTTAAATGTGTCTATTTGTTTATTGGCTTTGATTTAAAGGACAGTTCCAGTGGTGATTGGCTGAGTCACAAATGTCCCCACATAAGCGTTAAGTGCAGATAATCATCACTCTCACTGATCTGGTGAAAGTTGATTAGCCACCGCTCTTCAACTATAGAGCACCTACTGGCAGAAGAAACACATGATTAATCTAATGTGGATTATTAGAGTGTAGTTCTTCAAGAGCTGCTCCTCCAGTGGCTTTGCTGCTGATTCAAAGCACTAACACTGCAATTAATACCATTTCTTTCTGTTGCAAAAAAAACATTAAATCGCGGCCTCTGGTGGTTTCAACTGTTGCTTAATTCGATCCGTCTCAGGATGGCTGCATTTTGTCGCATGTGCACGGAACATCTCGGAGTAACGGGGGAGCCCCTCCTGACAGCGGATGTCATCAAGTGTTGACAACACATCCTTACAATCCTCAGCTCCCCCGAGGGCCCTGTTTAAGAGTCAGGCTGCGTCCGCGAGAGCCGCCGCTATGGCAACGGGATGTGCTTTTCCTCCCGCTGCATCCGCGGCCCGACGAGCGATTTCCCGTCTCACACGTTGTCTGACAGACGCCGGGCGTCAGTAAAGTAATCCTGGGGGGACGGCGACGTCCCTGCGTAATAGTATTTGACACCAAAGTTTCCCAGCCGGCAAATAGACTAATGACTGAAATCCTGGGAGAGAAAAGAGAACAGTAATTGATAAAATATTTGAGGTATATACGCGCCTATATCCTGACAGGGAGAGATGTGAAGTGGACAGATACAACACATTCTTTAAATCCTCATATGTGTGTGTGTCTGTCTGTGTGTGTGTAATATGTGTTTTTTTTTTGACTGCTTGAGGGTTAAGACTTGCTCGTGGTTTAGGGTTAGAACTGGGTTTAAGTTTCATTCATTTCATTTGGTTGGTCAAGGTCAATGTAAGGGGCTACAGGGAATGCATTATGCCAATTAGTGTCCTCACAGATAGAAGTATAAGAGTGTGAGAATGTGGATCACTGAAGGTAAAGCTCATGTTTGCTTATTATTATTTGATCGTTATTGTTTCGGTGTCAGTGATATGACCTTCATGAACAGAGGATGAATAAACTCTGCTCTCTGTCCCGAGCCGCCTGTTCAGGACCACGGACAGGGACCAACTCCCTGTCAGCCTGTGTTCAGTTTCTCTCTTGACAGTCAAACATCCTCCTCTCCTCTATCCGCTGTAAGATTACTCCATTTCTTCGTTCTCTTTGGAAAAGATGATGTACTTATCTTGTCTGTGTTTGCTTGTAAAGAGGCTGAGCGGAGAAAGACAGATGAAGATACAGTTTTGTGTGGGTGATTCTATCAAGAAAGTAAGATGTATGTCAGTGCGTGTGCTACGGGGGAGACGGGGAGATGTGGAATTGTGTTGAGAGACATCGGGGCCCGCTGGTCCTTTCCCTGTGCTTTTTCCCCGTCCTGCAGGATGTGCCTGATCAGCAGATAAATCCCAGCTGCTCCTGCAAGAGGCTGGCCATATGAGGAGGTCAGCTCCCCCATGGGGCTGTCTGCTCCCTCCCTGCCCAAGTTCCATTCTGCACAGACAGACAGTTCACATTGTACTACCGGTGTTCTCCTGTCAGAACGAGACCTTTACACACACACACACACACACACACACACCAGAGCATAGTCGGCCCTTTGTATTCACAGTCTCATCGCGTAGAGCGACAAGTGTCAGAGAGTGAGGGGGAAAAAAACAAGAAGTGTACGGGCCACCAGCTGCAGGCAAATATGCTGAGCTAATTCCCAGACAGAATTGGATTATTGTGTTCAGGCTTCCTCATTTATAAATCATGCAGGTAATTCGTTTACTTAGATGCTGAAATGGACCCGGTGCAGCCTTTACAAGGTGTAATAAAAACCGCTTCAGAGAGAATTCTCTTTTTATAACTAGATCCCACCTACATTTCAAAAGCTCTGAATGAGACTTTGTGGCTAAGGATCTCAGAGAACAGGAACAAAGTGGGGTTTTTTGGAGTTGCAATCTTGGTTTGGTTTCCTTGTAGGCTGAGAAAAAGCTGTAAAATGTCCATTTTACTGAAATCTTACAGCTTAATTCCCCGGCATTAAATGTGTGTATTGACTCAGCAAGCAGAACTGTGTTTGTCGTCTATAATTTTGTATTTTAAGAAGCCATTATTGTGGAAGTTCAACTTTCTCGATTGCCTGTTAGAACATTCAGGGCTGCATTACAGATCCATCATAGTGTGACAACAAATTAAAGGACCTCATTGGAGTTTAATTCCATGGAAACAGACCCATATTTACCGGATCTTTTTTAGCCTTCCCCACAACAAATGCTCAGTAAGCAGTGACTCATCATATCTGCCATTTCATTAGAGTTGATTGGGTTTTATTTACAGACATGTCTTATTCATTAAATGTCAATTACACAGCAACAAAATTTAAGGCAACAAATGTCAACAGTGAAAATGAGATGGTGAGATAGTGTTGTATTTTTAATGTCCATGGTTGGTCTGCGGCATATGTGGCTGAGTGGTAACATTACCACCACCATCTACTGACAACATTGGCAGATGCAGTGTCCCCCCCGGCTGTCAACTACTGCTGTTGTGGACTCAGAGATGTTTGTTTATTTCCCGCTCATGTTTATGTTTTCCCAGCTCAGCCATGCCTGGGAATATTTATGACTAAAACACAACATTGTCTTTTCATTTTGGGAAAGAAATCAAGTCTTTTTTTTGTTGTTGTTGCAGTCCTTTGGCAAAAGACCCAATCCCCGCTGGTGCAAGCTAAGTTTATCTGCGTACTTCCACGATGCCAGTCCTCTGTTGCGTTTGTTAATATTTAAGAGTCTTTTCATCCCCTGCAAACTACTGCAGCGAAATTACAAGCTATAAGAACAAGCAGGAGTATAGAGGGAGCAAATTCAAGGGGAGTTTGTAGTTAATTGTCTTTATTTTGCGTCTTATTTCCTGCAGCCTGAATTATCAGCATGCCAGAATTTAGTTTGGGTTCGTGGGAATTATGGATATCACCCCGTGCCCTGGCCCGCTGCCAGCGTGTGCACGGCCAACACACTTAAATAGGCACAAAGCCGCTTAAAATATTCATGTGTCACTTGGCCTCGCCATAGCTTATATGAAACTATCTCTTCTCTGCTGGCAAATGATTTCCATGGTTTAAAAATACCCGCTGTGGGTTTCAAGAACAAAGAGGAGATCTGTGGTACATTAGCATGCGGCACCACACATGGGCTGGAAGCTGGGAAATATCGAGATGGATTTCTAAAACATGTTTACAGTCCTGAGTCTTTGAAGGTCTTGCTGTCATGCCTCAGTTACAAAAAGCTCAATGGTGATTAATTCAGGGTACAGATTTCCTGGCATTTTGAAATGGAAAATATCTGTGAGGTATGAAATTAGTTTTCTTGCAGTGGTTAGAATCAAGTCTCTCTTTTTTTTTTCCGGATTTACCTGCTACATTGGAAAAAGATCATTTACATTCAAGGTGGCTTTAGATGATTGACTTTGTTTGCAGGGGAACCAGTTTGAACACAACATGCCTCCTCTAACAAATTGTTTTTTTTGCGGAGTCCTGTTCGTCTGCTGCTTTGTGGACAGCTTGATTTCTGCCCCGGCTTTCATTATTCACAGCCTATCCCTTCTTGTCATTGTCACTCTGGGAGTTCCCTGGATATCAGAGGGGTTACAGGTTATATGTGCAATTGTTCTTTGGAAATGTCCCCTGAGAAGAACCCTGCAGCGTGTCTAGCTGCCTGGTCGCTGGCTCGGAGCTGACTAATGGTCAGAGATGAAACTTCTCACAAGGAATCGGTTTTTTTTTTCCGTTGCATCTTTTAACCAGAGCCGTTTCTTCGCACAATCCAACCAAGAGAAAATTTGAAGTCACAGAGAGGTGTAAGAAAAACAAGAGTGTTTGTCAGAGGGAGGGAGTAAAGTGCGAGCGAGAAGAAAAACAGTGAGTGTTGAGGCCTGCAGATACGGAGTAAAGATAGATTAGTTTGCCTCAGAGCAGTCCACTCTCAGCCCACTCTCACTTGTGCTCTTTTATTACTGTTTTGTGATGGCTTCTCTGAAAAGAGGCAGGAAGGACAGTTGAGTACGCTGTGGAGATGCAGTGGGAGGCCAGGAGTCATGCACTGCAGCTCGGAATAAATGTCAGCAATGTAGTATTAGCCAGTTGAAAATTTAACCGAGACTACAGATTTTCACGAAGTAAGGTAAAGCAAACTGCTAAAAAAAAACAAAAAAACATTATAGCACAAATTTCCTCGCAGCGTCCTCGTGGGAACAAACCCAAATATGTATTTTCATTAGCCTCCGATGAAATTATCTATTAGGTCTCATTACGTGTTTGGCTGTCTCCACTTCCACTGGA